CTTAGTTATTTCAAAATTTCTCGTTGTTTCCTGGGTTCACTAGGGTTACTCGTTACATGCATCCTGTCGCAAAAGAGGTATTGTAAAGAACTTTACCACTGCGGCTCATAAGGACCAGTTTACCAGATGAGCATCCATCATTGTTGCATACAGTTATGATTTGGTGCATATTAAAATCAAAATTTTGTATTTGCATATGTCACCAGCTTATTTGCTCCCAAAATCAAAACTTACATCTTCCATAACAACATTCCAAAATATTTCACTTCCAGTGGCGTTCTTCTTGACTGCTCTCGCCAAAACTTCAATATTGGTCTCATCTGCCAAGTTCACCAGCATTTTCATTAGTTCGCTAGTAGCGCTTAGATAAGGATCGAGGATCGATCTGGTGTCTGTTCTGTTCACTGCTGTTATAGCTGGTGGTGGCTTGCATTCTGAATAGTCGTTTGAAGTTAGATCATGCGTTATAGCAATGAACGGGATACCAGTTTCATTCATGGTGAGAGGTGTGAAATGAACCCTACTTCAAAGCAGCACTTTTATGCCGTCCTTGTTTATATAGTTTTCAGATAAACAGAGCCTACCATTCTCAAAATTTACTTCTTTTAATCCGCTGATGCAGCCAGTTGTTGATTCAGAAGGCAGGTGGAAAGGAGAGAAAAGGGGCTTCGCTTACTTTTGCCGAGATGATTACGTAGGTGTAAGGTAACGAATGAAAGGGAGGAAAAAGGGAGGAGAAGGGGCAGAAAGGAAGACATAAGAAAAAACATAAGGGCTTAGTCGGTGCTTTGCTTTTAATGTATATATAATAATTGACGTTGATAGGCCAAAAGCAAAAACTTCTGAAGCTTCTTCTTCAGCGCAGTAAGGAAAAATGCTTCCTTATAAAATAAAACCATTGCTGTAACCATGAAACGCCTTAAGGCACTTTGAATATAAAGTTTTTATTCTAACTATGGTAATAGGTGTATTTAAAAGAAATATTCGCTAATTTACAGGTACGGCACAATCCTGTGGAGCAACAGTCCCTGCACCAGTAGCACCGAAAGCTTCCATAATTTTTTGCACAATCATTGCCATGGTTGTAAGCACGGTGAAGCCAAATCCTTAATAGAGATTAATTATAAGTCCTTTAACATGGTATTGGCCATTTTTGGTTGCTATGGCCACTATATTTTAATTCATACCTTCAGTTAAATTTACTGCCATTGGAAACTGCGATCTAATATCTTCCTTCGTTTCGTTGTTCATTGTCTGTACAGAAAGAGCCACATCTCTGAGAAATTGTAACCGTTTGGCTGCTGATTCGGCTGGTGTTTCGCCTTCAAGGGAGATAGCCTTGTCACGCCACTGGAATTCAGAATAAAAGCTATGTGATAAACTCGAGATAATCCTATGAAAAATTATAGGGGATTTTTTTTTATTTAATAAAATCACAACACTTAAACTCTAACATCCATACTGTGTTATTTCTCAGAGGCTCATCTCCAATATGTCCCAAATTATTATTTAACGATTTCTTCTAAAGTGATTTTCGATTATTTTAAAGTGATATGCTCAATATGTTCGAAATACGCCACATCTGGCGTTTTCGAATCTACCCCGAAATTTTTTGTTCGATGCTTAAACAGCGAATTTGTGCTAACAAAATTCAAGTACCCTCTTGTCATTCTTAAAAGCCATCTTTAAGGGACCAGCTTCGGCTACTTTCACTTAAGTCTCGTCTTCTGCAAAGACCGCAGCCCACTTCAAGGTAAGTTAATCCCTGGGTAAAACAATGGAAAGTAGATCTTCTTGAAAGTCTATATAAACTTAAAGCGCATTCACTCCAAAATGTTTTGGAACTACACTTATGACGGGACTGAAGCAGTGGGACTCAGATTATTCCTATCTGATAGTAACAAATTTAGAAGAAAAAAAGTTGAGACGACGGAAATCTGTAAAATGAGATTAAGGGGACATGAAGCGATGGAAGTACATGGAAAGGATGAAAAATATGCTACATCAACCAATTCACTATTTTAGGGAATATATCGTTAGGATACGATCTTGTGCATGGCATTTTGCCCTAGGTTACTCTTTTGTTTTTGTACATATTTGATCTACCTCTTCAGAAAAAATCTACATCCTACACAATTGACTCAGATTTTAGCTGTACCTACCGATCGCAGCAAATCCCGAGTTTCAGGCTTGAGATTGAGGTACTTTTCGTAAAAAGTTGTGTTAAGAGCAGCAATCTTCTCGTAAACCTGAAAACAAGTTTTACGAAGTTAGGAAAAAGAAGATAAAATGCCTTTTTCACCGTTGGCAATTTATCCTTGATCAATTCGACAATTTCTTCCTTGTTTTCTGGCTTCTTAATTCGTCCACGATACCAGTCAGTCATAAAGCTTACAAGCTCACCCTTTTGAGTCAAGTTGAGCTAAAAATCCCTATGAATATTTACTGGTACCAGTGCAAGTGTAAAGCTCACGTTATCAATAGCCGACATAAGATCTTGCGGCAGCATACCTTAAATACTCTAATTAGCAGAAAATAAAGTCATTTAGATGATTTATTGACTGCATTGATCGGAACATACCCTTAAACACCTTGAGCATGTCGAAATAGCTATCCAAGGATTCCACGGTAAGAACTAAATTAAAATACAGCAGTATATAATGGAAACTTTCAAAAAAGGAAGTTATTTTAGATTGAAACAGCTCGTTAAAGTTCAGCAAACCCAATTTTGAATAAAAAAAATTCTTTTTCTGGAGGGACCAGGTTACCAAAACGTATTCTTTTTCAATATGGCTACAATTTTTTCTATAGAGCAAGGATTGCTGAAATCCATAGTTTAAAATTAGTCACTTCTTTGGTATCAAAGAACTTTGCTTTTTGAAATTCAAACCATTTTCATCCTTTCTCTCCGCTTCTGTATCTTGGATCACCAATGGAGTCGACAGACATGCAGCACATATACTCAAGAAAACGTAGAACTTCATCCTGAAATTTATCTTAAATGAAAAAATTATTAGAAAACAGAACCACGAAGGTCACAGAAACTCG